GTATCAGTGGGAGGAATAGTGCCCCGTCATTGGTATCAGTGGGAGGAATAGTGCCCCATCATTGGTGTCAGTGGGAGGAACAGTGCCCCGTCATTGGTGTCGGGGAGGAACAGTGCCCCGTCATTGGTGTCAGTGGAGGAAATACAGTGCCCCGTCATTGGTGTCGGGGAGGAACAGTGCCCCGTCATTGGTGTCAGTGGAGGAACAGTGCCCCGTCATTGGTGTCAGGGGAAGGAACAGTGCCCCGTCATTGGTGTCAGGGGGAGGAACAGTGCCCCGTCATTGGTGTCAGTGGGAGGAACAGTGCCCCGTCATTGGTATCAGTGGGAGGAACAGAGCCCCGTCATTGGTATCAGTGGGAGGAACAGAGCCCCGTCATTGGTGTCAGTGGGAGGAACAGTGCCTCGTCATTGGTGTCAGTGGGAGGAACAGTGCCCCGTCATTGGTGTCAGTGGGAGGAACAGAGCCCCGTCATTGGTATCAGTGGAACAGAGCCCCATCGTTGGTATCAGTGAGATGAATAGTGCCCCGTTATTGGTATCAGTGGGAGGCATAGTGCCCCGTCATTGGTGTCAGTGGGAGGAGTAGTGACCCGTCATTGGTGTCAGTGGGAGGAATAGTGCCCCGTCATTGGTATCAGTGGGAGGAATAGTGCCCCGTCATTGGTATCAGTAAGAGGAACAGTGCCCCGTCATTGGTATCAGTAACAGGAACAGTGCCCCATCATTGGTATCAGTGGGATGAATAGTGCCCCGTTATTGGTGTCAGTGGGAGGAATAGTGACCCGTCATTGGTGTCAGTGGGAGGAATAGTGCCCCGTCGTTGGTATCAGTGGGAGGAATAGTGCCCCGTCGTTGGTATCAGTGGGAGGAATAGTGCCCCGTCGTTTGGTATCAGTGGGAGGAACAGAGCCCCGTCGTTGATGTCAGTGGGAGGAACAGAGCCCCGTCGTTGGTGTCAGTGGGAGGAACAGTGCCTCGTCCCCAGTGGGAGGAACAGTGCCCCGTCGTTGGTGTCAGTGGGAGGAACAGTGCCCCGTCGTTGGTGTCAGTGGGAGGAACAGAGCCCCGTCGTTGGTATCAGTGGGAGGAACAGAGCCCCGTCGTTGGTATCAGTGGGAGGAACAGAGCCCCGTCGTTGGTATCAGTGGGAGGCATAGTGACCCGTCATTGGTGTCAGTGGGAGGCATAGTGACCCGTCATTGGTGTCAGTGGGAGGAATAGTGCCCCGTCATTGGTGTCAGTGGGAGGAATAGTGCCCCGTCATTGGTGTCAGTGGGAGGCATAGTGCCCCGTCATTGGTGTCAGTGGGAGGCATAGTGACCCCGTCATTGGTGTCAGTGGGAGGAATAGTGCCCCGTCATTGGTATCAGTGGGAGGAATAGTGCCCCGTCATTGGTATCAGTGGGAGGAATAGTGCCCACGTCATTGGTATCAGTGGGATGAATAGTGCCCCGTCATTGGTAGCAGTGGGAGGAATAGTGCCCCGTCATTGGTATCAGTGGGAGGAATAGTGCCCCGTCATTGGTGTCAGTGGGAGGAATAGTGCCCCGTCATTGGTGTCAGTGGGATGAATAGTGCCCCGTCATTGGTGTCAGTGTGAGGAATAGTGACCCGTCATTGGTATCAGTGGGAGGAATAGTGCCCCGTCATTGGTATCAGTGGGAGGAATAGTGCCCCGTCATTGGTGTCAGTGGGAGGAACAGTGCCCCGTCATTGGTGTCAGTCGGGGGAGGAACAGTGCCCCGTCATTGGTGTCAGTGGGAGGAACAGTGCCCCGTCATTGGTGTCGGGGAGGAACAGTGCCCCATCATTGGTGTCAGTGGGAGGAACAGTGCCCCGTCATTGGTGTCAGGGGAGGAACAGTGCCCCGTCATTGGTGTCAGGGGGAGGAACAGTGCCCCGTCATTGGTGTCAGTGGGAGGAACAGTGCCCCGTCATTGGTATCAGTGGGAGGAACAGAGCCCCGTCATTGGTATCAGTGGGAGGAACAGAGCCCCGTCATTGGTATCAGTGGGAGGAACAGTGCCCCGTCATTGGTATCAGTGGGAGGAACAGTGCCCCGTCATTGGTGTCAGTGGGAGACATAGTGCCCCGTCATTGGTGTCAGTGGAAGGAATAGTGACCCGTCATTGGTGTCAGTGGGAGAATAGTGCCACGTCATTGGTATCAGTGGGAGGAATAGTGCCCCGTCATTGGTGTCAGTGGGAGGAATAGTGGCCCGTCATTGGTGTCAGTGGGAGGAATAGTGCCCCGTCATTGGTATCAGTGGGAGGAATAGTGCCACGTCATTGGTATCAGTGGGATGGAATAGTGCCCCGTCATTGGTAGCAGTGGGAGGAATAGTGCCCCGTCATTGGTATCAGTGGGAGGAATAGTGCCCCGTCATTGGTATCAGTGGGAGGAACATAGTGCCCCGTCATTGGTGTCAGTGGGAGGAATAGTGCCCCGTCATTGGTGTCTGTGGGAGGAATAGTGACCCCGTCATTGGTGTCAGTGGGAGGAATAGTGACCCGTCATTGGTATCAGTGGGAAGAATAGTGCCCCGTCATTGGTATCAGTGGGAGGAATAGTGCCCCGTCATTGGTATCAGTGGGAGAAACAGTGCCCCGTCATTGGTGTCAGTGGGAGAATAGTGCCCCGTCATTGGTATCAGTGGGAGGAATAGTGCCCCGTCATTGGTGTCAGTGGGAGGAATAGTGCCCGTCATTGGTGTCAGTGGGAGGAATAGTGACCCGTCATTGGTGTCAGTGGGAGGAATAGTGACCCGTCATTGGTATCAGTGGGAAGAATAGTGCCCCGTCATTGGTGTCAGTGGGAGGAATAGTGTCCCGTCATTGGTGTCAGTGGGAGGAATAGTGCCCCGTCATTGGTGTCAGTGGGAAGAATAGTGCCCCATCATTGGTATCAGTGGGAGGAACAGTGCCTCATCATTGGTGTCAGTGGGAGGAACAGTGCCCCATCATTGGTGTCAGTGGGGGAGGAACAGTGCCCCATCATTGGTGTCAGTGGGAGGAACAGTGCCCCATCCCATCATTGGTGTCAGTGGGAGGAACAGTGCCCCATCATTGGTGTCAGGGGGAGGAACAGTGCCCCATCATTGGTGTCGGGGAGGAACAGTGCCCCATCATTGGTGTCAGGGGGAGGAACAGTGCCCCATCATTGGTGCCAGTGGGAGGAACAGTGCCCCATCATGGGTACCAGTGGGAGGAACAGTGCCCCATCATGGGTGCCAGTGGGAGGAACAGTGCCCCATCATGGGTGCCAGTGGGAGGAACAGTGCCCCATCAAGGGTGCCAGTGGGAGGAATAATGTCCCATTGTTGATGTCAGTGAGAGCAATACTGGGAAGAATAGTACCCCAAGGGCAGATAAAGGGTAGGAAAGGGCTGCATCTGGCCCTAAGATGCAGTTTGGAGATCACTGGCTTAGATCCTCCTTACTATTCAGTTAGCTGCAATGTTGATTGCCTACAGTACTTTCTGGGCTATTTGCCTTACAATATCTCACAGGAGCAAGCTCTCAAACACTGAGCTCAGAGCCTCAGCACCAGGGGTGGGAAAGCACATCTGATGTGCTTTTTACTTTCTGCAATTTTTTATTGGATATGTTTTATAGCAGAAACTAAAAAATCGTTTAAAAATGTTAGGTCTTTTTTCATTTATATAGTTAAAAAAAAAAAAAACCCCAGTGGTGATCAAATACTACCAAAAGAAAAATTATATAAATTTCATTTGGGTCCAGTGTTGCATGACCACACAATTGCCATACTCACAGTCCCACTATAAGTCGCTGAACACCGCCGTTACTAGTATAAAAAAAAAATATATATAAAAAATTCCAGTACATATACCATAGTTTGTAGATGCTATAACTTTCACGCAAGCCAATTAATATACACTTATTTGGATTTTTTTTTTACCACAAATATGTAGCAAAATACATTTTGGCCAAAATTTATGAAGAAATTAGATTTTAAATTTTTTTTTAATTGGATATGTTTTATCGTAGAAAGTAAAGAATATTGTCCTGTTTTCAAAATTTTCGGTCTTTTTTGTTTATATAATAAAAAATAAAAGACCCAGTGGTGATCAAATACCACCAAAAGAAAGCTCTATTTGTGAAAAAATTGCTAGAAATTTAATTTGGGTACAGTGTTTGCATGACTGCAAATAGAAAAAATGGCCTGGTCAGGAAAGGGGTAAAATCTTCCGGAGCTGAAGTGGTTAAGAATAGTGACCATCAGCTAAAATGATCAAAGAATCCAGAAAATTAATTGACAAAGCAAGGATTGTCTCAGGGTCCCAGACAGGCTACCATCTCTGAAAAGAGGGTCTTACTAATGGGCACCCCACTGTGAATTTTTTTTTTTTTGTGCCAAATTCAAAATGTAAAGTATTACTAAACCCAGGACCCTGCATTCACTATATCCGCTCTCCCGGACACTGCATTCACTATATCCGGTCTCCCCGGACCCTGCATTCACTATATCCGGTCTCCCCGGACCCTGCATTCACTATATCCGGTCTCCCCGGGACACTGGACCCTGCATTCACTATATCCGGTCTCCCCGGACCCTGCATTCACTATATCCGGTCTCCCCGGACCCTGCATTCACTATATCCGGTCTCCCCGACCCTGCATTCACTATATCTGCTCTCCCCGGACTCTGCATTCATTATATCCGGTGTCCCCGGACCCTGCATTCACTATATATCCGGTCTCCCCAGACCCTGCATTCATTATATCCGGTCTCCCCGGACCCTGCATTCACTATAAACTGCTCTCCCCAGACCCTGCATTCACTATATCCGGTTTCCCAAGACCCTGCATTCATTATATCCGGTCTCCCCGGACCCTGCATTCATTATATCCGGTCTCCCCGGACCCTGCATTCACTACATCTGGTCTCCTCGGACCTGCATTCACTATATCCGGTCTCCCCGGACCCTGCATTCGCTATATCCCGGTCTCCCCGGACCCTGCATTCACTATATCCCGCTCTCCCCGGACCCTGCATTCGCTATATCCGCTCTCCCCGGACCCTGCATTCACTATATCCGCTCTCCCCGGACCCTGCATTCGCTATATCCGCTCTCCCCGGACCCTGCATCCACTATATCTGGTCTCCCCGGACCCTGCATTCACTATATCCGGTCTCCCCGGACCCTGCATTCGCTATATCCGGTCTCCCCAGACCCTGCATTCGCTATATCCGCTCTCCCCGGACCTTGCATTCACTATATCCAGTCTCCCAGGACCCTGCATTCGCTATATCTGCTCTCCCGGACCCTGCATTCACTATATCCGGTCTCCCCGGACCCTGCATTCACTATATCTGGTCTCCCCGGACCCTGCATTCACTATATCCGGTCTCCCCGGACCCTGCATTCACTATATCTGGTCTCCCCAGACCCTGCATTCACTATATCCGCTCTCCCCGGACCCTGCATTCACTATATCCGGTCTCCCACAGTACACACTACATGGAAATGCAATTATTTTGGTAAATATAAACTGCTAAATACCTTTTCTCATCAGCAGTATATAGCAGTCTTGTGACTTCTATCAGTGTCCAGCAGAGCACTGGTTAAAGCTTGTAGGAGGAGTTTTCATATTGCTCTAGAGAAGGCTGTTATACTTGTTATACTGTATTGTTGCTGTATTGTCTCCCGTTATATTGTAAAAGCGCTGAGCAAACTGTTGGCGCTATATAAATCCTGTATAATAATAATAATATATAAATCCTGTATAATAATAATATATAAATCCTGTATAGAAATAATAATAAGACAGATTTGTGCACAACTCCCTCACGGCTCCGGATTGGCGATACATACGGTAAAAATAATGCGCATTTTTTTCCACACTTGTTTACTTATGAATTTGGGACACATTTCTGCAGAAGGTCACATCCGCTGCAGCGAAACGAGATGTATTCCTCTAAATAGGACAGATTTCCATACAAATGTCACATGCCCCGAGGTAAACACATCTTTATTTTTCCATCTGTGGAATCTAATGAAATATACATTCTGAGTGGATATGTGGAACAGATCTCTGTAGAATTGTCAGGTGTGCTGCTGTAAAAAAAAAAAAAAAAAAAAAAAAAAAAAAAAATCTCTAACCTCTATATTTCTCGGCATGGGACGGGTATACGTAGAATGACCTTACTCCTTCAATATGGGGCAGACGTGTATGGAAGAATTGTATGCACTGAGGACAAATGACATTTGTATCCATTTCATATGAAATCCAGGTTAAGTATTTTTGTTTGTTACATGGGATAGATTGAAGGATATACATGGGGGGTTTTATCTTTCAGTATTGCCGATAGGACGAATGGTTGTTCATCATCCACGTCCTCCATGTTGCCCTCCTAGGGGTGGGCATCTGGGCACCACGGGTCGCATGAGAGGGTACCTTTACCTGTGCCGTTTGGTTATGGCCAGGCTTCCTGGGCACCAATACAGGGTCACTCGGGCTACTTCACACAGGTATGGGGGGATGGACTTGAAACAGTCTTTACTCTGGCTGCCGTGTAGGTTTTACCGGGGATGTATTTGTATCGAAACCGGACCCAGTCTGCGCTTGGGTATCTATCCGATTATAATACCGCTTCCCCGTCCGAACACCGTCCACGGACACCACCGCTTCTGACCATACAAGACTCGACGAGACCAGTCTTGAAATAAATCAGGAAAAAGACTACTTTATTTTAACACAGATACAAGATATATACATTCAAGGGAACAATTCCCCCCTCTACTCCCTGCAAATGACACAGGGCGGGGCAAACCACATCTAGCAACAAGAGACAGGTCAGCAGACACCCCCCACCAAGCCAATACACATAAACACATACATCCCATAATAGTTTGCTCCCAAGCAAGACACACAATAGAACAATGGGATACAACTACATGGCATCAAACAATGAACAAACCCCCCACCCCCCCTACAGTTGCAAGAAAAAGTATGTGAACCCCTTGGGATTTACGTGGAGTTTTGCTTGAATTGGGCATAAAATGTGCTCTGAACGTCATCTAAGTCACAACAATAGAAGAACACAGTCTGCTGAACATAATACTACACAAACATTAGATGTTGCATGGTTTAATTGCACATAACATGTAAACATTCACAGTGCAGGGAGGAAAAAGTATGTGAACCTTTGGACTTAACTGGTTGACCCTCCTTTGGCAGCAATAACCTCAACCAAAACGTTTCCTGTAGTTGCAGATCAGACCTGCACAACGATCTGGAGTCATTTTGGACCACTCCTCTTCACAAAACTGTTTCAGTGTAGCAATATTCTTGGGATGTCTGGTGTGAATCGCTCTCTTAAGGTCATGCCACAGCATTTCAATCGGGTTGAGGTCAGGACTCTGACTGGGCCACTCCAGAAGGCGTATTCTGTGCTGTTGCAGCCATTGTTTTGTTGAATTACTTGTATGCTTTGGGTCATTGTCCTGTTGCATCACCCATCCTCTGCGGAGCTTCAGTTGGCGGACAGATGGTCGTACGTTTTCCTGCAAAATGTCTTGATAAACTCTGGAATTCATTTTCCCATCAATGACAACAATCCGTCCAGGCCCTGAGGCAGCAAAGCAGCCCCAAACCAATGATGCTCCCTCCGCCATGTTTCACAGTGGGGATGAGGTTTTTGATGTTGGTGTGCTGTGCCTTTTTTTTCCCACACATAGTGTTGTGTGTTCTTCCCAAACAAACTCAATCTTGGTTTTTCATCTGTCCACAGTATATTTTGCCAGTAGTGCTGTGGAACATCCAGGTGCTCTTTTTGCAAACTTCAAACGTGCTGCAATATTCTTTTTGGACAGCAATGGCTTCCTCCGTGGTGTCCTCCCATGTGCTCCATTCTTGTTTAATGTTTTCCTTATTGTAGATGTGTCAACAAAAATGTTAGCATGTGCCAGAGATTTCTGTAGGTCTTTAGCTGACACTCTGGGATTCTTCATTACCTCATGCAGCATTCTGCGCTGTGCTCTTGCAGTCATTTTTACAGGACGACCGCGCCTAGGGAGAGTAGCAACAGTGCTAAACTTTCTCCATTTGTAGACAGTCTGTCTTACCGTGGACACATGAACATCAAGGCTTTTGGAGATACTTTTGTAACCCTTTCCAGCTTCATGCAAGTCAACAATTCTTGATCGTAGGTCTTCTGAGAGCTCTTTTCTGCGAGGCATGGTTCACATCAGACAGTGCTTCTTGAAACCAGTAAACCCAAAACAGGTGTGTGTTTTTTAAGGGCAGGGACAGCTGTCAGCAACGCATCCAATATCATCACACTGATTGGAGTCAAGGTTGGCTCACTCCTGGCTCCAATTAGCTCTGGGAGAAGTCATTAAGCTAGGGCCTCACATACTTTTTCCTCCCTGCACTGTGAATGTTTACATGTTATATGCAATTAAACCATGGCAACATCTAATGTTTGTGTAGTATTATGTTCAGCAGACTGTGTTCTTCTATTGTTGTGACTTAGATGACGTTCAGAGCACATTTTATGCCTAATTCATGCAAAACTCCACATAATCCCAAGGGGTTCACATACTTTTTCTTGCAACTGTATACATGTCTACACAATATCAGGACATTTCACCCTGTACCCCTAACAGACACAGGGTGACTTACACATAAAAGAGGGATATGGGGAGCTGAGACAGGGGTCTCCCCACCTCTCTAAAGTGAACTGTGTTCCATGGGCACCCCCACCCAAAGTCACTCCCGTCACACCGTTTCCAACGATGCCCTGGGACAAGGCTCAGGAAATACTCGACCTTAAGGCGGGAGATGAATGTACATGTAGCCCTACCCCCTTAGGAGTCACTGAGTTTTTGGGGTCTGCACAGCCAGGCAACATGCATTTTCTTCCACAATTGCACACTAGAGATAGTAAACAAGTCCTTCAGCTTTTCTTTGTTAGTTTTATTAAGGGGTATTGAACTTGGATGGGGTTGAGGGGTGTATGGGATGCCCAAAGGAACTGTGAACTTGAGGACAAACGCCTTAGCAACTATGTACAAGTCCATTAGACAAAGGCCTTTTCTTGAAGAGCTCTCCAGCCCTCCTGGTGTACCACCTCAGACCCCAGAAGAATCCTCCTCTTTATTCAACTGCCTGAGGGAATCCCTGGGCAAGGGGACCCAGAAGCTGCCACTTAGACAAGGAGTCCCAGATGACGAGCCAGTTGTGTTCTCCACCTGACCGCCCTCTCCCCCCCCCCATCCAGCCCAGGAGGTGCAGGATCACTCAGTCCTCTCCTGTAAGCTTGATGGGTTGGTAGCTGCCTTGAGGCCTTACGCTGGGCTGCCTCCTTCCTTGCTTCCCAGGCTGTCCTCTCTCAGGGGACGATTGAGGGTAGAGAGATCCTCCTGTCCAGCACCTGCCTGTAGGTAGGCCTCTGCCAGGCTCCACACTCCAACCTTCTCACTCCATCTTCCACCTGACACTGACCCCCTCCTGATCAGGCTCTCTCACACTTAACCCCTTCACGCCGGCGCCTCCCAGCCCCTTTAAGGGTTTCGGAAGCCGGGAGGAAGGGGCGAGGTTTAGGGTCATGTGACCGCCGTGACACGCCATCACATGATCAGGAAAGGTCCCGATCGAAAGAGATCGGGACCTTTCTGTGAATACCGGACATGTGTGCTGGGAGCGCGCTGAGCGCACGCTCTCAGCACATATGTTCTTCTTTTTTACATATGTGGTGGAGTCATGTTTTGGGCTGGAATCATGGGAACAGAGCTGGTCGGCCCTTTTAGGGGCCCCAAAGGTGTAAAGATGACCTCTGCAAAGTATGTGGAGTTTATGACTGACCACTTTCTTCCCTGGTACAGAAGGAAGAACTATGCTTTCAGTAATAAAATCATCTTCATGCATGACAATGCACTGCAAAGAATACCTCTGCATCAATGGCTGCTATGGGGATAAAAGGAGAGAAAGTCATGGTGTGGCCTCCATCCTCCCCTGACCTCAATCCTATTGAGAACCTTTGGAGCATCCTCAAGCAAAAGATCTACGAGGGTGGGAGGCAGTTTACATCCAAACAGCAGCTCTGGGAGGCTATTCTGACATCTTGCAAACAAATTCAAGCAGAAACTGTCCAAAAACTCCCAAGTTCAATGGATGCCAGACTTGTGATCTGCTATCAGATAAGGGCTCCTATGTTACAATGTAACGTGACCGCTTCAAATGTTTACAAAGTTAAAATGTTGTTAAAAGTTTGATTGAAATAGCTTCTGATTTCAGTAAATCTGCTGCAAACGCAACAAATGACAATTTTCAGTTCTTTACAACCTATAAAGTGTTTTGAAACTTACTGTGCGGAATAATTTGGAACAAAAATCCTGTTATCATTAGGAGGTTTGTTCACTAAAATGTGAATTGTCCTCTTATAGTTGATAACATGAGAATTATGATGACTGATTATTTACATCAATTATTTAGGTAAATGAGAAAAATATCATTTGCATAATAATTTGGAACACGGTGTATCAAGCTCTCAGATTACAGACCTCCACCCTCTCTCTTTCCCCCCTTTTGGCTCCGGACCATTGTCCCCTTTTCTATGTACAGGACCAATGGGTCAGACCCAGGCCTCCCGCCAAAACCAGAATTATTCTGGGCCTTTTATCTGTCAGTAAGGCTGGATTCACACCTATGCAGTTTGCGTTTGATCCGTTTCTGCAGTGCGTTTTTGGCGCATATTTTTTTAAACTTGTTGCTGGGCAGCTTAAAAACGCATAAAAAACACACTGCATGCTTTTCCATTGCAGTCTATAGAACCAAAAATGTAACGATTTGAGTTTAAAAAAAGTCCCTGACCCTTTCCAAAACACGCGGCAGGGGGAAAACGCGGAGATGTGAACCTGTCCCATAGATGTTAAATGGACTGCTGTGCATTTCTGCAAAACGCAGCGGAAAACACTTAGGTGTGAAGCTAGACTGAGGCAATCATAGTATAGAAACGCAGTCCAGATGTTTCTGCATTTGCGTTCTGGTGCGTTTTTGATGTGTTCTGGCTCATTTTCCCTTTTTCTTCAATTTAGATAGGGAAGTGCGTTTTGGTGTTTTTATGCTTTTTTGACGCGTTCCAGTGTTTTTGATGCCTTCCAGTTCATTTTTCCCCTCTTCAATTGAAATAGGGACATGTGCGTTTTGGTGCATTTTTGATGAGTTTCAGTGTGTTTTTGATGCGTTTTAGTGTTTTTGATGTGTTCCAGTGTGTTTTTGATGAGTTCCAGTGTTTTTGATGCATTCCAGTTACTTTTTTCCCCTCTTTCTTCAATTTAAATAGGGACGTGCGTTTTGGTGCATTTTTGATGCATTCCAGTGTGTTTTTGATGTGTTCCAGTGTGTTTTTTTGATGAGTTCGTGTTTTTGATGAGTTCCAGTGTGTTTTTGATGAGTTTGTGTGTTTTTGATGAGTTCCAGTGTGTTTTTAATGAGTTTGTGTGTTTTTGATGTGTTCCAGTGTGTTTTTGATGAGTTTGTGTTTTTGATGCATTCGTGTGTTTTTTGATGCATTTGTGTGTTTTTGATGCATTCGTGTGTTTTTGATGTGTTCCAGTGTGTTTTTGATGAGTTTGTGTTTTTGATGTGTTCCAGTGTGTTTTTTGATGAGTTTGTGTGTTTTTGATGCATTCCAGTTACTTTTTTCCCCTCTTTCTTCAATTTAAATAGGGACGTGTTTTGGTGCATTTTTGATGCATTCCAGTGTGTTTTTGATGTGTTCCAGTGTGTTTTTGATGAGTTTCGTGTTTTTGATGAGTTCCAGTGTGTTTTTGATGAGTTTGTGTGTTTTTGATGAGTTCCAGTGTGTTTTTGATGAGTATGTGTGTTTTTGATGTGTTCCAGTGTGTTTTTGATGAGTTTGTGTTTTTGATGCATTCGTGTGTTTTTGATGCATTTGTGTGTTTTTGATGCATTCGTGTGTTTTTGATGTGTTCCAGTGTGTTTTTGATGAGTTTGTGTTTTTGATGAGTTCCTGTGTGTTTTTGATGAGTTTGTGTGTTTTTGATGCGTTCCAGTGTGTTTTTGATGCATTCCAGTGTGTTTTTGATGAGTTTGTGTGTTTTTTGATGAGTTTGTGTGTTTTTGATGCATTCCAGTGTGTTTTTGATGAGTTTGTGTGTTTTTGATGCGTTCCAGTGTTTTTTGATGCGTTCCAGTGTGTTTTTGATGAGTTTGTGTGTTTTTGATGAGTTTGTGTGTTTTTGATGCGTTCCAGTGTGTTTTTGATGCGTTCCAGTGTGTTTTTGATGCGTTCCAGTGTGTTTTTGATGCGTTCCAGTGTGTTTTTTGATGCGTTCCAGTGTGTTTTTGATGCGTTCCAGTGTGTTTTTGATGAGTTTGTGTGTTTTTGATGCATTCCAGTTAATTTTTTCCCCTCTTCAAGTCAAATAGGGACATGTGCCTTTTGGTGCATTTTTGATGCATTCCAGTGTGTTTTTGATGCTTTTTGGTGCATTTTTGATGCGTTCCAGTCAAAATGTTCCCCTTTCTTCAATTTAAATAGGGACGTGCGGTTTGATGCATTTTTTTTTTACACCTTTCAGTGTGTTTTTATGCATTCCAGTCCATTTTTTCCCCCTCTTCAATTTAAATATGGACATGTGCGTTTTGGTGCATTTTTGACCGTTTTACCGCGTTCCAGTACAGTTCTGTGCAGAATACAATGCATCCTGTTCTACTTTTGTTTTCTGCCTCCGGAACGCGCTGGAACTGCAAGCGCTGATATGAACTATTTCCAAAATGACTTCCTGTGCGTTTTGGATGCAGAAAAAAAAGCAACTGAGACGCCTGGAGTGTGAACCGGCCCCCGAGAGAGGAATGTACACAGGATGGCCTACCTAGAGGCCGAGGTACAGGCCCCGTCCTTCCTCCACAGGGGACAGGTGGACACAACGCACACTGAGGGAAAGTTTTGTCTCTGATCTCCTCAGAATTGCCGGCTGTACCGAACTCAGCGGACTTCCCTGCCTCTGCCCGGGATGGACGGAGCTCATTATGTAGTACAGCCTTCGCCCTCCTTGTATAGTTATCATCCGGAGAACACAGACCGGTGACGCGTTTGTGACTTTACTAGAGCGGGAGGTGCGCGGCCCTCACACGGGACACGGAGGAGCAGCTGGTGAGTACAGAGCGGTGACATCACAGAGGGGGAGGAGTCCTGCCAGCCCTCGGCTGAGGCGGGAAGCCTGGTGAGGAGGTGGAGGAGGAGGGACCAGGCGGGGGATCCCAGGTGAGGGGAGCCTGGCACTGGGTGACGGGGGAGAGGGGGAGGAGAGATGGGCGTTGAGGTGGGCGTGGCCTCTCTTTGCACACACACCGCACTCACACCGAGCCAGCCGCAGCAAAATGGCGGCTCTGGGCACCGGGCTCCCCCTCGGCTCTCCCGCGGGGCTGGGGGACTACGGGCCTCCCGGGGTGCCGGCGCTGGAGCCCGGGGAGATGAGGAGGGAGGCTGGAGGAGACCCGCCGGGAGCTGGAGAAACCGGAGGAAGATTCTCGTCAGGAATCTGCCGGCCGACTGCTGCAGCCAGGTGACTGGAGGGGGGTGAGCTGTCCCCTGAGTGAGAGGCCCCAGAAACTTGACTGTCCCCCCCCACTGGGGCCTCCCCCAGAGACTTGACTGTCCCTCCCGAGACTTAACTGTCCCCCCACTGAGGGGCCCCCCCGAGACTTGACTGGCCCCCCCCCCCCCCGAGACTTGACTGTCCCCCCCCCCCGAGACTTGACTGTCCCCCCCCCCCCCCAGAGACTTGACTGTCTCCTCACTGAGGGCCCCCCCCCGAGACTTGACTGCTGTCCCCCCCCCCTGAGGCCCCCCCCCGAGACTTGACTGTCCCCCCACTGAGGCCCCCCCCCCGAAGACTTGACTGTCCCCCCCCCCCCGAGACTTGACTGTCCCCCCCCCCCCCCCCCCCCCGAGACTTGACTGTCTCCTCACTGAGGGCCCCCCCCCCCGAGACTTGACTGCTGTCCCCCCCACTGAGGGCCCCCCCCCCGAGACTTGACTGTCCCCCCACTGAGGCCCCCCCCCCGAGACTTGACTGTCCCCCCCACTGAGGCCCACCCCGAGACTTGACTGTCCCCCCACTGAGGCCCCCCCCCGAGACTTGACTGTCCCCCCCCCCCTCCCCCCTACCCCCCGAGACTTGACTGTCCCCTCACTGAGGGCCCCCCCCCCCCCCCCGAACCCCCCCCCCCCCCCAGACTTGACTGTCCCCCCAGAGACTTGACTGTCCCCCCACTGAGGCCCCCCCCCAGAGACTTGACTGTCCCCCCCACGGAGGACCCCCCCGAGACTTGACTGTCCCCCCCCGAGACTTGACTGTCCCCCCCACGAGGACCTCCCCCCCCCCCCCGAGACTTGACTGTCCCCCCCACGGAGGACCTCCCCCCCCCCCGAGACTTGACTGTCCCCCCCACGGAAAACCTCCCCCCCCAGACTTGACTGTCCCCCCCCACGGAAAACCTCCCCCCCCAGAGACTTGACTGTCCCCCCCACGGAAAACCTCCCCCCCCAGACTTGACTGTCCCCCCCACGGAGGACCTCCCCCCAGAGACTTGACTGTCCCCCCCACGGAGGACCTCCCCCCAGAGACTTGACTGTCCCCCCCGGGGAGGATCCCCCCCCAGAGACTTGACTGTCCCCCCCAACGGAGGACCTCCCCCCCCCAGAGACTTGACTGTCCCCCCCCCACGGAGGACCTCCCCCCAGAGACTTGACTGTCCCCCCCACGGAGGACCTCCCTCCAGAGACTTGACTGTCCCCCCCACGGAGGACCTCCCCCCCCCCAGAGACTTGACTGTCCCCCCCACGGAGGACCTCCCCCCCCAGAGACTTGACTGTCCCCCCCACGGAGGACCTCCCCCCAGAGACTTGACTGTCCCCCCCCGGACGGAGGACCCCCCCCCCAGAGACTTGACTGTCCCCCCCACGGAGGACCTCCCCCCCCAGAGACTTGACTGTCCCCCCCACGGAGGACCTCCCCCCAGAGACTTGACTGTCCCCCCCACGGAGGACCTCCCCCCCCCAGAGACTTGACTGTCCCCCCCCACGGAGGACCTCCCCCCAGAGACTTGACTGTCCCCCCCACGGAGGACCTCCTCCCCCCAGAGACTTGACTGTCCCCCCCCCCCCCCACGGAGGACCTCCCCCCCAGAGACTTGACTGTCCCCCCCCCACGGAGGACCTCCCCCCCCAGAGACTTGACTGTCCCCCCCCCCCACCCCCCCCACGGAGGACCTCCCCCCAGAGACTTGACTGTCCCCCCCCCGGACGGAGGACCTCCCCCCAGAGACTTGACTGTCCCCCCCCACGGAGGACCTCCCCCCCCAGAGACTTGACTGTCCCCCCCCCACGGAGGACCTCCCCCCCCCAGAGACTTGACTGTCCCCCCCACGGAGGACCTCCCCCCAGAGACTTGACTGTCCCCCCCACGGAGGACCTCCCCCCCCCAGAGACTTGACTGTCCCCCCCCCACGGAGGACCTCCCCCCAGACTTGACTGTCCCCCCCCCCGGAGGACCTCCCCCCAGAGACTTGACTGTCCCCCCCACGGAGGACCTCCCCCCCTCCCCAGAGACTTGACTGTCCCCCCCACGGAGGACCTCCCCCCAGAGACTTGACTGTCCCCCCCACGGAGGACCTCCCCCCAGAGAGACTTGACTGTCCCCCCCCCCTCCCCCCAGAGACTTGACTGTCCCCCCCCCCCTCCCCAAGAGACTTGACTGTCCCCCCCCCTCCCCAAGAGACTTGACTGTCCCCCCCCCCAAGAGACTTGACTGTCCCCCCCCCCCCCCCCCCCCAAGAGACTTGACTGTCCCCCCCCCCCCCCCCCCAAGAGACTTGACTGTCCCCCCCCCCCCCCCCCAAGAGACTTGACTGTCCCCCCCCCCCCCCCCCCCCCCCCCCCCCCCCCCCAAGAGACTTGACTGTCCCCCCCCCCCTCCCCAAGAGACTTGACTGTCCCCCCCCCCCCTCCCCAAGAGACTTGACTGTCCCCCCCCCCCTCCCCAAGAGACTTGACTGTCCTCCCCCCCTCCCCAAGAGACTTGACTGTCCTCCCCCCCTCCCCAAGAGACTTGACTGTCTCCCCCCCTCCCCAAGAGACTTGACTGTCTCCCCCCCCTCCCCAAGAGACTTGACTGTCTTCCCCCCCATCCCCCCCCCCTCCCCAGAGACTTGACTGTCCCCCCCCCCCCCCAAGAGACTGGAGGACCCCCCCCCCCCCCCCCCCAGAGACTTGACTGTCCCCCCCCCCCCCCCCCCCCCACTGAGGGTGCCCCCAAGAGACTTGAATGTCCCCCCCCCCCCCCCCCACTGAGGGGGTTCCCCAGAGATTTGATTGTCCCCCCAACTGAGGGCCCCTCCCAGAGACTTGACTGACCCCCCCACTGAGGGGGGCCCCCCTCCCAGAGACTTGACGGTCCCCCCAACTGAGGGCCCCCCCCCCACTGAGGGTCCTATGGTTTACTCTTCCAATGAAGGGTCTTCTGTTATGTGAATGACGTTTCTAGAGAGGTGTCTGTTCCATGACTGAGGGTCCTAGATTCTGCTTTCTGTTCACTGGGGGCCCCACAGAGGCGAAGGTCCCCTCAGTGGGGGAGGGGGTCGGAGAGGCGGTTGTGCCCTTGGGGGTGCATTCACAAAAATGAGCAAAAAAACTGTCAGTCATGGCCATTCCTGTGGGAGATAACGGCCCCCCAACCTGACCAGCACAGCTAGGAAAAGCTGGAAATACTTGCACTGCTTTGCCTGGTTAGTCGTGTTCAGGGCACCCCATTGAAATGAATGGGATCCCTCCTGTGTGCAGAGCATCCGATACACAAGACGTGCTGCATGGGGGGAATGGGGGCTTACATTGGGAAGGTGACCGTCCCCTCGCCGAGGGTCCCAGAGCGGTGACTGGCCCCTGACTACAGCTGGCCATAGACATTGTAATATGATCAGTGGCTGTCCCTGCTGTCAGAAGTTGGTCATTCGATCGACTTCCATTGAAGACACGTTCTGGAAAACTTTGGTCGATCACCAGCTGCTGATCAGCTTGTTTGGACAGCGGAGAGTCCTGCTATCAATATACAATGTCCCGGGAGGGGGGAATCCTTCCGTCCACCTCATTTGTGTGGATGGAGGAATCTGTTGTAAGCGCCTTATCTGGAGTGTTTGCCGAGATGCCGGCTGCAGAGATCACTGCTGTAACATTTGGCTGCAATCTTACCTCTCCCCATTGTTCTTCCTGATATAGGAGAGGAGAAATTCTTAAAGTGGATCTCCACCCAAAAGGGGAAGTTCCGCTTTAAGGCTTCATCCCTGGCTCCTCGTTAACCACTTCCCCCCTTCCCGGACGCTTTCGCCCCCTTCCCGTCCGGACGCTTTCGCCCCCTTCCCGTCCGGACGCTTTCGCCCCCTTCCCGCCCGGACGCTTTCGCCCCCTTCCCGTCCGGACGCTTTCGCCCCCTTCCCGTCCGGACGCTTTCGCCCCCTTCCCGTCCGGACGCTTTCGCCCCCTTCCCGTCCGGACGCTTTCGCCCCCTTCCCCTCCGGACGCTTTCGCCCCCCGCCCGGACGCTCCCGCCTTTCGCCCCCCCCCCCCTTCCCGCCCGGACGCTTTCGCCCCCTTTCCCGCCCGGACGCTTTCGCCGCCTTCCCGCCCGGACGCTTTCGCCCCTTCCCGCCCGGACGCTTTCGCCCCCTTCCCGCCCGGACGCTTTCGCCGCCTCCCGCCCCCTTCCCGCCCCGGACGCTTTCGCCCCCTTCCCGCCCGGACGCTTTCGCCCCCTTCCCGCCCGGACGCTTTCGCCCCCTTCCCGCCCCGGACGCTTTCGCCCCCTTCCCCCGCCCGGACGCTTTCGCCCCCCCTTCCCGCCCAGGCCAATTTTCAGCTTTCAGCGCTATCACACTTTAAATGACAATTGCACGGTCATGCAACACTGTACCTATATGGATTTTTTTAGCCTTCTTTTGAGACAGATAAAGCTTTATTTTGGTGGTATTTATTCACCGCTGAGATTTTTATTTTTTTTTTGCTATGTAAATTAAATATCCAAAAATTTTGAAAAAAAGTGTTTTTCTTATAAAATTTAGCAAATAGTATTTCATCATAAATCTTGGCCAAAATTTATTCCGTTTATATTTTTAGTAAAAAAAAAATAACCCAAATTAGTTTATAACCAAAAATTATAATTTTTAAAAAATATGTTTAAATTTTTTTTTTTTTTTTTTTTACATACTGTCACCCTAGCAGTACAGTTGTCACCATGGTGACACTACTACTTGTGGGGGGGTGATGAAGATATTTTTTTTTTACACTGATTTTACACCCACAAAGGCTGTAAAAGCAATCATTTCTCCTCTCTGGCTGCATTCTTGCAGCCATTGAGAAGTACTGAGTGAGCTGTGATTGGTCACAGCTTGTCACATGGTGCAAGGCTTTTGTGACTAGCCTTGTACCATGTGACCTCTGTAATCATTCACAGCTTTCACACGTAGTAAGCAATCATGTCACAAGTGACATCTTGCTTACTACTCTGCATGT